TTACCCCTAAAACGACGAGTCCACAGGCTAGCATGAACTCCACAAGAACCGGACCCACCTTTTCCTTCAGCGGTATCGTGATGCTCGCGCCACCGAAGTCCTCCCCAGCCATCACAGAAAGGACTTCCTCCACCTTAGCCGTGTCGAACCTCGAGTATCTTTCACGAGCGCAGCGGGAAGATTTTCAACTTACGCCCTGAAAAATACAGTACGTCGCTTACTCGTGAGGCAATCCGAATGTCTTGAAAATGTGGTTATGGAGGGCCGGCGAGGGAGACTTCGTTACAGGACTTCCAAATACGAAATACCTGGAGGAGACACTTTCCTCACGAAATTTTTTCTCGGACGATTCCGAAAATTATGAATTTCCCGTCAGTTAGTGTTTCTGGCATAAATTTAGCAAACAGTGGAGTTTCACCCGTAAAACGCGAACTGGCATTTTACGCCTGCGAAATGCGAATTTCGCGACGTGAAATGTGAAATGTGATTTTCACCAGTGTTTTTCATATCACGGGTGAAACTCCAGTGATGCCCAGTAATATACCAAAGTAACAAAGGTCATGCCAGTAACCACCCACCTCCTAGCCGTTTTCTCAGCGACGCCCATTCCGATGTTCAAGGCCTCTCGCATGCTCTTTAGTTCCATCAGTGATAGCTGACCAGGAGCTGCTGCCTTCATCGCTGGGTGCCGAACTGGCGTCCAGTAGGGATTCATTATCTACCACAATAACAACAACATTTGTATATCACCATAATACGCATTAACTCACTCTCGAGATCACACCGCGTGGGCCCATGCACAGCCCTACTAACGGCTTAGAAGTCCCTTGAAGCTTCTCTTCCTGAGGGAGGAAGTCCGCCAGAAAGGCGCATCATCACGACTCACCTGTACAGCAGTTATCAGAGTTGCATCCGACTCAGAAGAGGCAGTGAACACGACCTTACCGACGGCTGACCACCATGGCTGAAGCACCTACAACAACCACAGTTGACCAAAAAGAACAATGTGATAGTAGCACTAAAGTAAAGAGACTAGCATTACTGTGTATATTCGCTAGTCTCCTCACACTATGTGGTTGTGATGATATTCCGCATATTGTTATAACAACAGTAATTGTTCTCTATCTCACTATAACAACAAAAGTTGTTGCCAACAACAACAATCCTACCTCATCAAAGCTCGACAGACCTCAAGTCGTCCTCCTGTAGGAGGCCTTAGGAAATGCCGACTAGCCACGTAGCCAACACCAATCACAGGGGCCGGGAAGGAAGACTCTGAGCATCGGCTAATCTCGATATCAACATATGATATACAACAAGATCGAGAAACCTGAAAACCATCAAAGAGTTATTCACCGCGGCAAACCATACACCAGTGCTGGAATAAAGCGCTAAATATAATTTCTACACTAACTATACAAGTTCATATACGGATTACATTAGAAGTGTACAGAAACCAATGAGGATTTCGCACTAACTCACAATTTCCATATTGTTACCAACACACGTAGTTGCCCATGTGCATATGCTCCCACACCGCCACACACCGGAACCTTACTCGCTTAACGAAGTCCCAATACAGTTCATCACTCTCATCAAACTGGCCGCCTTCAGAGGAACTCCGCAATGTAGCAATGACAGGCAACTTCCCAGCCGCTGTAGACGCATACCTTAAAACGACAACCCATTCTCACTAGCTATCTCGAGCTCCTAGCCTTACTGTAACTGTCGTATACAGTCTCCAGGGTCCTTCAACAGGTCAAGTCTGACCTCAACTGCTGAAGTGCCGTCCAAGTCACCATCCCTACAAGTAACTCCCTCGTAGGTTGGCAGCGTCAAACAAGTAAAAGTGCCTACAACAATATATATGTTTATATTATATATAATGAGATATTAATGGAGTTTCACCACCCTAGTGATATGAAAGCGATTGATCAATGTAAACTATTTCCACGGGGAACTGGAGGAACCTAATAAAGGGGCGTTGTTGAAGCCAACAGGTAGTCGTCGGCCTCGTACCGCGATAGTGCTACGATGGGTAGCTGGTCGGCCTCCCTATACATAGGGTCTACCTCTGTCGCACAGTATTGGTCAATAGTAGGGTACTCAGGACTGAGGAAGGGTGCATACTCCTCACGGTGGAGCTTCAGCACGGAACTCGATAGGCATCTGGAAGGACCCATCACAACTCTTCACTGTGGCGACTCATACCTCAAGAAGGTGACTATATAAGCGTCGTTGTCACTGCTGATTTCGCCAGCTGCCGTAGTTCCAGTGTCATCAAGTTTGTCAATCTCCTCCAAGAAAGCTTCCATGAAGTCCTCCACGGTGAATCTGAGGAATTCTGTCAGCACCAACAACAAAACTTTCAGCAAAGCACTTCGGGTAGCCGGCCGCCTCGCAACATTGTAGACCTTCTTTCGAGACTAATGTCCGGAACCTAGCGACAGTGTTGTGTTGTCAGCAGTGTTTGTTGTCCGTGGTCCTTGATGATCTGAGG